CTCCCTCGCCTCTCCCCTCTCTCGCCCATCCTCCCCCGCTCCGCCGACTGCCTCCGCCGCATCCTTACCCGGTCCTTGCCCCGTCCTCTGCCCGCGCCCGCCGCAGCTCTCCCGTCTCCTTACATACTTCCTGCCTCCTGCACCCCCGGCCTGCGCTTCTCTCTACGGCACGAAAGTCTATAATCTACTGAATACAAAACGGGCGTTATTAGATTTGTAAACGACGAAAGCTCTCGTTGCGAATTTTGTGTGGCCTGTAATTACGCTAATTAAGCAATGCTGCTATTGGCTACGCTGCTGGCTGCTGCTGCTTGCTACTGCTTTGGCTGCTACTAGCTACTACTCAACTCGCTGCTTGCTGCTATTATACTACTACTACTGACTCTAGCTCCGCTGTTATCTGCTGCCTCTGCTACTGCCTAACAGGCTACTGCTACTTCTACTGCTGCTCCTGCTACTGCTAACTGCTACTGCACTGCTGCTGCTGCGCTGCTGGCTTGCTAACTGCTGTTTGGGGCTGCTAACTGCTACTATACTGCCTGGCTGCTGCTATTACTACTACTACTACTGCTACTGCTGTTACTGCTGCTGCTGCTGCTACTGCTACAGCTACTGCTACTACTGCTGCTACTGTACTGCTCTGCTACTTGCTACTGCTGCTGCTGCTTGCGCTGCTGCTGCTGCTGCTGCTGCTGCTCGCTGCTGCTGCTGCTACTGCTAACTGCTACTGCTGCTGCTGCTGCTGCTGCTACTGCTGGTAACCTGCTGCTGCTGTACTACTGACTACTATGCTGCTGCTGCTGCTGCGGCTGCACGCTATGCTGCTGCTACTGCTGCTGCTGCTGCCTCTACGCTGTTACTGCTGCTGCTGCTACTACTACTGCTGGCTGGCTACTGCTGCTACGGTTACTGCTACTACTGCTACTGATGCTACTGTCACTGATGCTACTACTATTCCTCACACACTACTGTAGCTGAAGGGGTTTATGTATCCTTGGTCATTTTCGGTAACCTTACCTGTAACCCTACCACCCTAAATCCAACATCAACCCTAATCCTAGCCTAACGTTATAACCGTAACCCTAACCTGTATGAAGGCTTACGTACTTGTTTAGACAGTAATCTAGAGGGTCTAGACCCTGCATAGTCCAACCATACGGACCAGTGAGGAAGGCAAGACAGCTTCACTTACGTGGGGGGGGGCTAAGACTCTGGCGCTGTGACGTGAGTCATGGGAGTGTGAAACTTAGAAGCTTGTTTAGCTTGGATATAGAGAGAGATAGAGGGAGAGGGAGAGGGATGGAGGGGAGAGGGAAAGAGAGAGAGGGAATGCGGTAGGTGTGTTACTTGTGAATAGAGAGGAGGAGAGAGAGAGCGAACGAGAGAGAGCGAGAGCGAGAGAGAGAGGGAGAGAAAGATGCGGTATGCCTTGCTTAGTGGCGTCCGTTCTAATCACCATAGCGGCGGTTTCTCTGGAAGGTTGGCAGTGGCGCTCTCTCCAAGCTGGCACTGTGTTGTAGATTTCTCCTTGTATGCTGCTGTCCGTCAGAGCAATTCAATAACGAAACACATTACGGGTCAGTCCCACCTCCCCCCCTAACTCGAATCACAAACGTATGACAGCTTTTCGCAGACAATTTGTTTCGAAAAGAAAGTACTCAACCAAATTTTGCGGACGACAGCGGCGTCAATGGTCCGTTGGCGTTCAGAACGGATCTAATGTTTCGTTTAATTTAATCATTGCGGAAGTTTTTCCGTTGAGAATTGAGACCGGTGGATGCGTCTTAACACGGGTATCGTTAGCAAATAATTTCGCTTGGTGATAGTAATCGCATTGGAAGATGCCTTGATCGGAAGATGCTGCCGCTGTACTGTAACTGTACCGCTGTACTGTAACTGTACTGTAACGGTGCCGCTGTACTGTAACTGTACCGCTGTACTGTAAGTGTACCGCTGTACTGTAACTGTACTGTAACGGTGCCGCTGTACTGTAACTGTACCGCTGTACTGTAACTGTACTGTAACGGTGCCGCTGTACTGTAACTGTACCGCTGTACTGTAACTGTACTGTAACGGTGCCGCTGTACTGTAACTGTACCGCTGTACTGTAACTGTACTGTAACGGTGCCGCTGTACTGTAACTGTACTGTAACGGTGCCGCTGTACTGTAACTGTACTGTAACGGTGCCGCTGTACTGTAACTGTACTACAACTGTACCGCTGTACTGCTGTACTGTAACTACTCCCTGTACTGCTGTACTGTAACTACTCCCTGTACTGCTGTACTGTAACTGTACTCCCTGTACTGCCGTACTGTAAACGTACTGCCGTACTGTAACTGTAACTGTACGGTAACTGTACCACCGTACTGTAACTGTACCGCAGTACTATAACTGTACTGTAACTGTACCGCAGTACTATAACTGTACTGTAACCGTACTGTTATACTGTAACTGTACTGTAACTGTACCACCGTACCGTAACTGTACTGTAACTGTGCTGTAACTATACTGTAACTGTACCACGGTACTGTAACTGTACCACCGTACTGTAACCGTACTGTTATACTGTAACTGTACTGTAACTGTACCACCGTACTGTAACTGTACTGTAACTGTACTGTAACTGTACCACCGTACTGTAACCGTACTGTTATACTGTAACTGTACTGTAACTGTACCACCGTACTGTAACTGTACTGTAACTGTACCACCGTACTGTAACCGTACTGTTATACTGTAACTGTACTGTAACTGTACCACCGTACTGTAACTGTACTGTAACTGTGCTGTAACTGTACTGTAACTGTACTGTAACTGTGCTGTAACTGTACCACCGTACTGTAACTGTACTGTAACTGTACCACCGTACTGTAACTGTACCACCGTAATGTAACTGTACTGTAACTGTACCACCGTACTGTAACCGTACTGCTATACTGTAACAGTGTAACTGTACTGTAACTGTACCACCATACTGTAACTGTACCGCCATACTGTAACTGTGCCGCAGTACTGTAACTGTACTGTAACTGTACCACCGTACTGTAACTGTACTGTACGGTGGTACAGTTACTGTAACTGTACTGTAACTGTACCACCGTAATGTAACTGTACTGTAACTGTACCACCGTACTGTAACCGTACTGCTATACTGTAACAGTGTAACTGTACTGTAACTGTACCACCATACTGTAACTGTACCGCCATACTGTAACTGTGCCGCAGTACTGTAACTGTACTATAACTGTACCACTGTACCGTAACTGTACCGTAACTGTACCGCGACATGTTGATGTGTGTGCTGCTGATGTGAAATAATGGTTGAATAACTTCGTAGGACGCATAGTTGTGTGGAGGCAAATGGAAGGCAAGCAGACGTTTGGTCGGCGTAATGCATTTGCACACGTGACTCATTCCTGCCAATCACATTGTCGGCGATTCGAATTAGGATTAATTTCCACACGTCACGTTTCGCTGATTCGCTCAATTATTAAACGTTTCAAAGGTTTCAAAAGTTGCGGAGCTCCACAATAGACTTATCACTAATAGTAAAAAATCACTTATGAAATAGGAAAGGCTTTCTATTCACAGCTATAATGGGATGAGCTCCTGTGTTAATGTGTGTGTATATTATTATAATATATGTATAGCAAAATATCAGCAGCATTGTCTAGTCATGGCACCGTTTGACGAATATATATATATGTATACCGAGAGTACATATATACATAATAGAAGGATATATACCATATTTAGAAAATACGAAATATAATTATATTGAGAA